CGTGACTGGTTTATGAGCAAGCAAAAGAATATAAAAGATGCTTTATTGATTGCTGTTACAACTCTAATCAAGTCAGAATTTTATAAAAGAAGTTTTCAGCTGCAACATTGTGACAATAATTGTAGGGGAATACAAAATTTATTTTTCATTAAAAAAAGAAAAGAAAAGATTTGAACTTAGCACTGACATTTCCTCTTCTTTAAGCAAAGCATAAAAAAATCTGTTATTTTCTTTTTATAAATTATCCTTTTCATTATTCTGATACAATTGTCGGTCCATGGTTATCTACATCATATTATGGCTATCTGAAGGTCACAATGATTTTTCCTGACAGTGTTACCAGCCAAGGAGAACTCAAGTGATCCCAAAATCTATTTTCCGGAAGAAGAGGTCTTTCAAACGGCAAGGAAGCAAAGCTGGTAGAGGCAAACATCGGCCTTTTCTACCAGGTGTGTATTCAATTTTATTTATATCAGAATTCTTGTTGTCCTAACTGAGATCTGTACTGCATGTTTACTCCTAGACTCTTGCAAGTAGCTGTTAATGGAAGTTGAAATTACTTGCGAGCAATTTAAGAGAGATTCTACATTAGAGTGGTTAGATGCTGTGCAATAGCCAATGCCATGTTTTAACCTTGCCCATGTTAATGCTTGGGCTTAACTAGGCTAGTATGGCTGCTTGTTTAATTTTTTTGTAAGTTCTGAGGCTATGTCTTCAAGTTCTGCCTACTTTTCTGAAAAAAAAAATATTAACCTGTAAAAGCTCTTTCCTCAAGTTTTCCCAATTTGTGTTCACTATAAACAAAGATATGTTAGTAGTCTTTGCTATGTATGTGTGTATAAACAAAGGTTTCTTGTGCTGGACCTACGACTGTTGAACAATGTTATATTTGCTGAACAGTCGGTATACAGCATTTGCTATTTGTATGTTGATGTTTTCTACTCGATTGAAGACTAATATGAAATTATTATAAAACAGCTGTTGTTGCAGAGAAAGATGCTGTACAGCAACAAAATGCAGTACTGAAGGTGAAAGAAGCAAAAGCTGCTGCAAACAAGTCGGAGGATTTGGCAGTTAGGATGAGACAGAAGGCGCAGCAGCTGATGGAGAACGCTGATCTAGCAACTTACAAAGCAATGATGGCACTTAAAATAGCTGAAGCAGCTAAGATTGCTAAGTCTAAAGAAGCTGTTGGGCTGATTTTCCTAGGTTAGACGACGAGTGTTTTTTTGGTGTTTCAGAAAATTCAGGTTGAAATGGCCAATTTTTCCCCTTGTTGAAATCGGAGGAAAAACAGCCTCGTAATGGCCTTTTTAGAGAAGCCTGTGGAGGTCTCGAAAATCGTTGACAGGATTTGTGTATAGATATTCTAATGGGATGTACATTCTGTATCATTATTTCTTTAGATGTTAGCTTAGATTTGTACAAGGCAAAAATGTTTCAAAAAGCATAACAGATATACAAGATTTTGAGCATCGTACATAGCAGACTCCGTAAATAATGCTGCATGTCTTGTTTTTATGTCTTTTTTTTCATTGTTTTCTTGCCATCTGTTGCTCCATTTTGCTCTCATGTTTTCTTCTTGAGGGTCAGAGTCTATTTGAAATAGTTTCTTTTAATCCTCCGAAGTTATAGGTTAAGGTTTGCATACATTTTTACCCCCTCGGTAGTAGACTTCCTTACATTTCAAAAAAGTTTGTGTTTTTCTCAATTTGACAGTTCTTTAAGATTACAAAGATTAAGGATATTTTGGTACAATTAGGCATTTTAATGTTAAGGGTGTCGTGTTTTGCTGTTTGGTCGTCTTATGTTATGTTGTTAAGAATAGGATTATATTATTTTAATCTTTTGTTTAACCTTAATGCTTTAACGACATGTGTAGTGACAGGCGTGCTAATTATCTTGTAGGCCTTTTGTTTTTTATTTTTATTTTAAGATATTGAGTGATCATGCGTAACTCAAAAGTTGACCACAATATTTGATGTGATATGTCGACGTAATCTTTAATTTGTTATTCATAATTAGATTAAAAAAAGTGTCTGGTCTTGTTGATGTTAAAGTTTAAACCAAAGAAGGAATTTTTTTTTTCACACCTAAATTTGTGGTGTTCACATATATATTTGTATAGATAATTTATTAAAATATTTAATTATGATAAATTGATACGACGTAATATGGGAAGTAATTCCTCTTATTATTATTTGCAACTTCATCTATATTCTTTTCTCTGCTATTTATACTTGCTTTATCTTTCGAGCTCAATCTACCTATGCCTATGCCTACTGAATTGGGGAACTAATGTCCTTCAATAATGATTTTTTGTTCTCTTGAAATCTTCAATTATTTTCGGATGATTTTTTATTTTTTTTTGTACAAGTGACATTTCAAGTTCAGTCACCCACATAATGACCCCACCCCTTGACTAGCTAGATTACGTATAAATATTTTTGGAATAATATTTTTTTCTTTATTTACCCGAATTAAAAAAAAAAAAAAGTAACCTACTTGTTTTCATAAACATTTTCATTCGTACCAAACACACTAAGTAGTTCTTATTCACTTATAAAGGGCTGGCTTTTGGCAATATCAAGGCTATATATTGATATTCTTGTGCTCCAAGCTTTTTATCAACTATGAAGTTTTCATCTGATTCTTCTCATCTCTAGTATAGATTAAATCACATTATTTGTGTATATATGCGTGTAGGAATTATATTATAGTAGATTTTACACAGATCTCACAGTATTAAGAGCTAATTACATTTTATTTTTGTTCTTTTTCAAATTACAAAATCTCTTAAACTTGGTGGAAACCAGATTCATCACGTCTCAGTTTCGGATACATCCCTCAATGTCCTGATACATCGCGTAAAGTAACATATTGATACATCAAGTATGTCCCAATACATCATAAAGGAATGTATTCAACCAATATATCGGCGCAAATGTATCCGATCAATACATCGCGTAAAGTAGGAATTTTTGTAATTTTTTCAAATGGTATGAAATTTTAAAAAATATAGTAAAAATAAGTTGTATATTTAGGTAAGTTTTTGACGAAAAACTTGAGAAAAATTCACAAAATTAAAATAAAAGAAAATATTTGATCCAAAAAATTTATCACTCAATTTATTTGCCATTCTCAACAGACAGCTCTTTAAGAGCTAGAAGTGTTTTTCCATAGGCATAATACATATATTGGACCCTAAACTTGGCTTCAAATTTCAACTTTGACCTCCAACTTTCATAGTGCACAAACAGGCACTTTAACTATCCAACCTTTTAATAAATAAACACGCGATTTTTGGAGGCAAAGAGCTTGAAATGCAAATGCTCCCACGTGTATTAGTGAGCCAATCAGTGGCTGCCAACTAATTAAATACTTTACAGGTCCATTTTAGAACTAAAAAAAAAATTAAAATTATTTTTAATTAATATACAAGGGTTATAGCTCTTTTTTACCCATAATTAAATAATCCACCCAAATAACTAAGACCCAACCCAAATTATAACCCGAAATCTTCATATGCCCATTTCAAAAATAAAAATAATTTCCATTCCTAAAAGAACTCAAATCTTGATACCACATGCCACAACATACATCTCAAATGAAAAGCAACACACTGAAGCATATCAAAGAATCAAATCAGAAAATTAACATAAATAAACTTTCAAATTCCAAAGGAAAAAAAATCAATCTTGGGGTAAGAACTCTCTCTACTTCAATCAATAAATTATAAGTCCTATTATGCTTAAAGAAGTAATGGAATACTTTGAAGACTAAATTGATGAAAATATCAAAATTTTATCAGAAAGGTCAAATCTAAAACCTATCACTACATTAGAAGACGAATTCCAAGATCGAAATGCTTCATAAAAAATTAAATTGAGCACTTTGAGGTCTAGATTGATGAGCAGATTCAAATTTTGTCGGAAATCTCAGTCAACTTGAACGCTTTAATCTTTGCCTAGGTCTATTTCCATGGCAGTTGAAGCAAAACTCTTCACTCAACAACAACAAAAATCATTTTAAATCAAGAAAATGGGTTTTCCTACAATACCCAGATTGGGTTCTTCTCTTTTACCGTTGCCGACAGCGAAATTTTTTTTTTGCCCTTTCCGTGCAATTTCGTTCAGACTAAAATTTCTCTTGAAATTTCATATAAGGTCTAATTTGGAAAATTGAATGGGTAACAAAAGTGAAGATTATTGGGGATATTTTTGGATTATAATTTGAGTGTGGGTTTCAAGTTATTTGGGTGGGTATTTTAATTATGGGTAAAATCAAATAAAATTCGGGTAGGTCTTTAAGATTGAGACACGTGTCCCTCCGTTAGTCAAAAGGATATATACATACCAAAAATTAGACAGTAAGGGCATTAGTGTCCTAAAAGTATAACAGAGGGTATTTAGATACCATTTATGATAATTCGGGGGGTATATTTGTCCTTTTTCCCTTTATTAAAAGGTTGGATAGTTAAAGTGTATACTCACCCATCTTGCCAAAAAAAAAACTTTTTTTTTGCAATAACAAAAAATTAATTAAATGTCACTTGCTTTTTGCAGTGAACAACAAATAATGCAAAAAAGAGGAGAAAATTGTTGAAAAAAATAGAAAGAGGGTTTAATTGTCCTTTCAATGTCTTTTTTACTATTGGCCCCCTCGATTTTTACATCTAACGTGCCTAATTTGAGTGTATTTCACGCATTTTGCCATGTAGGATCCGAGTGTTTTTTTGTTTAAGTTTTGGATAGTTAAAGTGCCTATTTGTCACTCACAAAGTTAAAGGTCAAAGTTATAATTTGAAGCCAAGTTAAAGGTCCAATTTATGTATTATGCCTTTTCCATATTACAATAAGTCTTACTTTTATGAGGGACAAAGTTTCATTCAAAAAGAACTTTGTTCAAAATTTAATTTCATTCCCTTTCCTATTCACACGCCATACTTAAAACCCAACATAATTTATTTTTTTTATTTTTAATTTGTAATTTAAGCAATTGATATATAAAATATAAATACATCCTGCATTAAAAAAATCTAGACATCAAGATATCCATCTACTTCACAGCATTAGATCATTCACCTGCAAAAAAAAGGAGAAGAACGTTTAGTACTTAATTGACTTGCTATGCTATGCTAATAATTTATCGGAAACAACCTCTTTATCTTTATAAAATAGGAGTAAAGTCTACGTGCACACTATTTTCCCTTTACTTTACTTGTGAGACTACATTAGGTAGGTTATTATTATTATATCAAATATTAATGATTTTGCCAAAAATCTATCGAAAACATCTCATATCGCCCTCTCCATACTCCACTGGAGTGTTCTGTTGTTGTATCAAATATTTAATACAGACACTCCCCCTCCACACTACCTCTGTTTGTCATCATATAAGATATGATTCATCTAAACTTAGTACTTTTGTTTTTAATGCGGTGCATAAATTTCATGTGTGAAAATCCACTTTATTTGCAGCAAATTTCACATCACCTACCTATTTTAAAGTTGTAATGAATTTAATGTTAAAAACCTTAAAAGTCGAATTTAGATTGTTAAGTCACCTCTATCGCTATGAACATTTCCTTTTTGTTGCGAGTCCTCATAACTTAAAACTCACAAAGAAATAAATGTAAATTCTAATAAAAATTGTAATTTCTCTATTTTAATTTGTATTATTAAATATTGTAATTTATAATACACTAAAAAAATTGTATCAAATTCAAATTGAACATTAGTTAGTTTAACTATTGTATTCTGAATCAAGTCAAACAAATTAAAACATATACCTTTTAGCTCATCATCAGCATCATGATACTCGTGCTCCTCCTCCGGTACCGGTGGCAGTTCAGCCTCAACCGCCGCCTTCTTCTCCACTGCTCCGTCGCCATATTCATCTTCTTGTGGGTATCTAACAACCACAACAGGACAAATACAGTTTTTCACGCAGTAATCACTAACACTCCCAAGTTTCCCTTTACTAATAATTCCCCTGATATCATTAGCCCCAAATCCTCTGCTTCCCATAATCATCGCACTCAATCTCAACCTCTCCACTTCTAAACACAGCCTTTCTTTCATATCCCGATCTTTCACTATGTGAATTTTGAACGGAACATTCGCTTCTACTAAAGGTAAAGCTAATTCAGTCGCTTTATTGTTGGTGAAAATTTCATAATCTCGTTCGATTTTATGAGCAGGGGAGGTGGAGGTGCTTCCCCAATCTGCACCGTAGAGCACGGAAGTTGGTCGGACGTGGAGGAGGATGACGGCGTCTCCTGGACGGAGGTAGTTTTGGACGGCCCATTTAACGGCGTAGGCACTCTCGTCGCTGAGATCGACGGCAATGGCGACGCGACGGTGCGCGGCGGAGAGTGAAAAATTGGGGGAAATGAGAAGGGAATTGGTTAGTTTTAGAGGTGGTTGAGTCATGGAGGATGATGAGTTTTTTTTTTTGGTTAAGCTATCACAGCAATTGAAGAGAGACAATGAGTTCTAAATTTATTTAGTACTTTATTTATTAAAAAATACTACTATTAAGTTACCTTCTTCTCAAGGTGGTTTACAATAATTAAAGTCTATAACGGAAAAAAGATTTTTTTTTTTTTAAATCATGTTTTTAAAATGTACTTTTTTTTTGGTTTCCCATCCGGTGTTTCGAGTCCACATTGAAGCTCCGACTAAATTTGGATCGCGCATTGCAGAGCTCATTCGGGGGTGGTGCTCCCAATATGATTTTCTCCATACCCAGGGCTCAAATCCGAGACCTCTGATTAAGGGTGAAACACTCCCACCAGTGTACGACAATCCATATTGATTTAAAAATGTACTTCTATAACTACCAAAGTATATTATGCATGCATGACGTTGTTTTGGCTGTGGGTAATGACATCATATGGAAAATAAAAATAAATAAATTAGATAGTATTGACAAGTCAATTAAGATTATTAATGACCGATGGCGGCCAAGGGTAGAACATGTTTGGTGCCTAAGTCTTCTTCGTCGTAGACTGGAAAATGATGGAAATTCTATCGAGAAAGAAGAGGCATAAGTATCGCCTCTTGATCCAATTCATCTTCTCTAACCTCCCCGACACACTATTGATATAAAAGAAACCTTCGCCTCTCTTTGTTCACTTTTACTTATCCATAATATACTTGATTTTAAGTCAAAGTTATAAAAATAAGTCATAAGTTAGAAATCTTAGCTTATATCTTTTAACTTATAAGCTAAAAGTCAATTCAAACCGACTCTAAAAATAAATATCTCTTACTTTCTTCTTCATTTTTATTTATCCATTATATCAAAAATAGTGTCCAGTTTAAAAAATCAAGAAATAATATAACACTTAGTTCCTAATTAACTATTATTAGTTATAGTTATTTCTCAATGGATTGAATTTATTATATTCAAAATGTGACATGGTAAAATTATAATTTTATTAGTTACTCCTTAAGAGTCTGTCTAGTCAAATATTAGACAAATAAAAATAATAGAGAGAATACTTGCCTAATTTGAAAAATCAAGAGATAAATACCCTAATTTATTCTTATTATTAATTAGTACTTAATTAATAATCTAATTTTGTTCTTAATATTTAGATGACTTAGAGTCCGTTTGGATTGACTTAAAATGTACTTCCTCCGTCCCATTTTATATGTCACATTTTTACTTTGCACTTGCATTAAGAAATAATGTAACTTTACCCTTCTATCCTTATTTAATTTTTTTGGAACTCAAGTTTTCAATCAATGAATATGAATTAATTTATTTTGATTAATTAATTTAACCAATGAACATTAATCATTTACTTAGTTTTTCTAAGTTAGTCAAATGTATATTTTCAAGGCTAATAACTCACAATGGTAACAAAGGAACAATATGGTAATTTATGCATTGATTTCATGAAATGACAAGTATTATAAACCAACTAGTTATAGAAATGTATGACATATAAAATGGAACGAAGGGAGTAACTTTTAAGTCATAAATAAAAAATCAAATTGAAATGACTTTTAAGTCAAAAAATAAAAGTAGGGGGACCTACTTTTGGTTTTAAACTTACTTTCAACCATTTTTGACATCGTCAAACACTTTCTAACTTATTTTAAGTTATTTTTTATATTTGTCAAACACTTTCAAAAATAAAAAAATTGACTTAATAATAGGTTTGACTAACTTTTAGTCAATCCAAACACCCTTTTATACTTCCTCTGTCCAACAATACATGTCTATTATTTACTTTGTACGCTTCTTAAGAACCTACAAACAAAAGATTATTTATCACTATTTGAATATAATAAATATAATGTCTTGAAAAATGTAATACATAAATGACTATATAATTAATGATAATGATAAATTAGAAACTAAGTGTAAAATTATCCATTGATTTTGATAAAGTGGACAAGCATTGTTGGACATCCCAAAATAGTATAGTGAACAACTGTTATTGAATTGAGAGAATAATAATTAAGAGTAATACAATAAAAGTGTCATTTAATTCATTAATTCTTAAAGAATAAATCGAGTCTACTATGAATAAATAAACATAAATGGAGGAAGTATCTTTATAAGCGTAAAATTATATATTAAAAAAAGGAAAGTAACAAATTTATATATGTCATTTTCTTTAATAAACAAACTTAAAAGAAATAAATATATTTGAGTTTTATATGTTTTAAATTTTTTTTGTATGAAATATTTATACGTAAATAATCTAAAAAAACATTTTCTTTTAATTAAATTTATAAGTGACCATACAAAAACATTTTTGCAAAAATCTCGTGTTTTTGCATGCACAATTAAGAAAAACATTTAATATTTTTTTCATCATATACAGAACGTTTTTTTTTCCTATAATAAATGCCAGTAACGTAGCGGCAAAGACGTATAAGCTTAGGGCTCCAATTTAGATCGTCCACGTGTCCATTCACTTTTGAACTATTAATACTCATTAAGAATTTTGTTTCTGACCTATCAATTTAATGATTGATTATCAAAACTTTCATTTTTATTGACAAAGCTCCATTTCATATTAATTGAATTGTTAAGGTGTTTCACACCCTTTAAAAAAAGAAAATTAAGACATAAATTAGGCTTAGTTTTCTATTTTTATCCTTATTAATTATTATCAAAATTATGATTAAAATAACTAAACATTAATTAATAACTAATTCCAATACTAACTAATGAAGGGTAAAATTAGAAAAACATTTTAAAAGTAATCTTGAAAATTGAACAATTAAGTTAATTTGAAAAATGAAAAATGTCTCAACAATTCGATTAATATGAAATGGAGAGAGTATTCTTTTATCTTATAATCGGCCTTTTCATTTCTTCTTTTCTTACCTTCAATATATTAATATGATCTTCAACGATCTACCAGTTAAAAAACAGGTAACGATTGATATTTTGAGCTACTGATCGATCCTCATGGTCATTTAAACATAAGGTGAACAATGAATCAATATTCAAGATTGAAGTTGCGGTGATTTATTATTTATTTGTCCTATTTTGTGTTACTATTTGATGTAATATCATGAGTCATACAATTTTGAGAAATTGTTGAAATATTTTCTAATCAAATTTATATTTCTATACGAGATAAACTAATTAATTACTTGGTCTCCCCCCAAGAGATAAAATTAAACATTGATAACTGTTACAATGTGATTTGAAAATATTGTTTTTTAAAATTAATCTTTAGGGATGATCATTTAAAAGTGATTGTTGTAATATATATATGTAAGATGAAATATGTTTCAAACCTTAATTTAGAAGTATTGATCATCAAGCAAAAAGTAATTAAATGTCACAAAACCAAATATATTATGACGCAATATAAGTGGAAACATATTGCTTAATGATTGTCAAGCTTATCAATGAAGAGGGCACGATTAAACATATCTGGAGAAAACACAATAAATCAGTGTCAATTTTTAACAATATATGAAGGACAAAATAATGAAGAGCTTTTGATATTCTCGACGCTAAAATTATTATGCATTTAACTCAAATTAGATATTTTCTTTTGGTACGAATAACATTTTTACTACAGTATACTAAAAGCAAAGTTTTAAAATTTAGTTGTGAAAGTCAATATTTTTGAGAATATCTTTGGACGTAATGTGTAATTTTTGGAATATTATATGATGCAAAATATATATGAACACACACTTGTTAGCTTTAGCTGAAGTAAGAGTACTAGAAAAGGACTTTACATTGTGAGATTTATCCAATTCTTGTCTCCTAACATGAAATGGACATGAGCGACCTGCATATTTACGAGGTTGAGAGACTAGATTGGGGGTGGGATCATCCACCGCGATGGTAAAATTAGAATTTTTTATTAAAAAAATTTAAAAGAGATTCGGATAAATTTTTTATGAGCTAGCTTTAAGTGATTATGTAGAGTAAATAATGTAAACCCTACTAGTTTAACGTTTAATTGTGTATCTTCATTTTAGTTTTTGAAATTATCTTCAGTGTCACATTTACTTCACCAAATGTAAATATTTGACATGTATCTCGTATATATATGGGTAAATTAAGTATAATTTATTTCAATTACACTTTATTTAACAGTGATTTGCTTGTATTTTGGATGCATTGACTCTCTCTCTCACATCTCTCCCTACATATTTGCATTGGTATTAAAAATACACGTATCAAATATATATTTGATTTGGAATCTGAAGAAGTGTTGTGTTTGATTTAAAATCTGGTAAAAATTATTAATTAGTTAAATATGTAATTATTTTCAAACTATAGAGTTGATTCTATTTATAATAGGAATATTTGTATAATTAAGTGGTTATATAAGACTAATATAGACATATAGTAGAATTACAATTTCTGTATCACCCGAATAGACTACAATTTTTGTCCGAAAGTCAAGATCTTCAATATCTCCATAATTTCGGGATTCGCGGGTTTTGACTACTTCTTTATCTCAATTTAACACACTTTTTTTTTTGGTTTGTTTAAAAAAAAATATATTTAGTAATAATTTAATTTTAAAATAAATACAAATTTTATACCTGATAAGATAGATTTATAGCCACATGATTTAGACCACAAGTTTTTCTAAAAAATCTCTTTCTTAAAATTACAGGTCCAATCAAATTACATCATATAAATTGAGGCAAATAACACAAATTTCATAAGTTTAGGATCAAATTACTTTCCTTCAGGCGAGTTTTCAATATTATGAATTTTATCAGAATTTGAACTTCGGATACATGTATCTGTCGTGTCTAGACTCTAGATACATGTATCTTGGATACATTATATCAAAGTTAAGTGTAGTTTATTCTAGATACATTATATTTCAGTTGATTCACATATATTTGATTCTCTCACTCACCTCTCTCCAATCTCACTCGCTTCTCTTCCTCGCTTACTCGGTTTTCTTTCTATGTATCTGTATTTCAAAATATATCTAATATTTTAGATACATATTTCTAATATGATTCATATATATTTGAAATACATATACTATCTCACTCTACTCCCTCCTATTTCACTTACCTCTCTTCCTATTTCAATGTACTAATAGCCAAAAATACATATATGTATATTTCACTTAAAATCTAATATAAAATTACTTAAGTACACAACATTACTTTACCTATTCTCAATATTTCCTACTCTTTTACTAAAATACAAAAATCCCTTATTTTCCCCCAATTCAACTTAACCGGATACTTTATTAGTTTAAGTATCCGCCCGTTATTAATTAAAGTATCTGCGTTGCTATATTATGCATCCGCCCGTTATTAATTAAAGTATCCGTGCCAACAACTTAATAATTTAAGTATCCGCCCTTTATTAATTAAAGTATCCGCGCTGCTATATTATGTATCCGAAAGACACTAAAAAAGGAATTTTTGGTAATTAATGAAAAAGTATGGATAAGAAGTAATTTCTTTCTTATACTATGTGATTTGCCTAATTTTTACTTAAGATTGACTAGTTAGGCCGTTGCACTACATAGATCTTGGTTCATATAAAGTTGGGTTCAATCCTCATTCCCGAATTTTCCCCACAAACAAAAAATAACGCCACCATTGAAGTTTCAAATCACAATTCCCCGCCAACCAAAATTCTCTTCAAATTACCCCCAATCTCCCATCTGGATTATCCCCGTGTAAGCGTACACGCTCAAAATCAAGAAATTCTTTGCCCGTAACTCGCAATTATGCAGAATAGTTGATATTCATTGAAGCAGGGAGGGATCTATGGAGAGTGGAATGGTATCAGTGGATCGTTGGACTGCTGGAAGCCAAGTCTACTTTCTAACTCACCTTCATGCCGATCATTTGAGTGGACTCACTTCGAAATGGTCGAGGGGACCCCTTTACTGCTCCCGCATTACTGCTAAGCTCTTTCCCATTAAATTCCCAGGATTCGACCTTTCTCTTCTTCACATTGTTGAAATTGGTCAATGGCACTCTGTTTCTCTACTATCTCCTTCCTCGGGTTCTTCTACTGCTGTCTCTTTCATGGCTATTGATGCACATCATTGCCCTGGTATATAGCTGTAATAGGCGCAATTTTGTTTTGTTTTTGCACACTAAGTGTTTGATTAATTTCTCATGTGATGCAAGTTTTCATGTAATTCAATCTCTGCAGTTTACTGTTGGAATAAGATTAATGGGTAGTTGCAATTTACACTTGAATAGGTATTCGCAGACAAAATTAGTTCTAAAAGGCGATTCTTTTTGCTGACCTGACAATTAGTCTTTAGTACTGTTATATTAATGATTGAAGTATATAAATTGACCCATTTTCGTTTGAAACTATGGGTATAATGAAGTGGTAGTGATTCCTTTTCTAATGGTGAGTATATATTTCTTGGAGTATTAATATTCAGAACCTTTTTGTTGTTCATTTTTCTCCTTATTGTTATGGGGCAAAAGAGGGGTTTTGGTGGTGCTGTTGTGTGTTGGGGGTGGTTTATATGCTGTTGTAAAGTTAAAGAAGAGGTGACATGATTTTTGTATCTCTCTGTAGTATTTTAAAACTGTATTTGTAGTGTTTAGGTCTTCAGAAGTTTGGCCTTTATACTTTCTTGGAATCTCATTCCTGTCATCACAGAACCTTACATCTTATCATGCTTAAATTGCTAGAGGTTGTCCCATTTCTTCTAAAGTATAAGCACTGATACAGGAGCAGTAATGTATCTGTTTCGTGGTGAATTTGGCTGCACACTCTATACTGGGGATTTCCGTTGGGAGAGCACAAGTGAGAGAGCGCAAACTGGAAGGACCATGCTGCTTAAAGCTATGAAGGATGTACAGCTCGACATGCTTTACTTGGATAATACTTATTGTAACCCAACATATTGTTTTCCTTCACGCGAAGTTGCTGCTAGACAGGTGAATGCCCTTTTCATATTTCTATCTTTTTTGGCAGCAATTTTTTTTGTGTAAAGACATTGTTGGTGTACTGCGACCAGTTGATTGAGTGTTTAATTCAATGAATATGGTTTGTTTACGAATATCATTTCCTTGTATCCCTGAAGCTCTGTTGAACTTTACTTTAGCATAATCTTCTTACATCAAAAGTTTATTCTGATCAGTACAATTTTAAAAAGTCTTTTGCTTAGATGTGTGGCTTTTTTCTATGGATTTATCCAGTAGTTCACTTATTGTACTGTACAACATATGCTTTTATTGCTGGTATTTTGTAAAAATCATCAACCATCCTGTGTCTTATGCCATGTTATAAATTTTAGTTCCCTTTTCAATCTCAAGCTGTGAAGTTCCAACTTGTAGAAGCTGTTTAATGATTTTGCTTCTTTTCCGTATGAAACATGTTTGATGAAGTTACAGTATATAATATTGACAAATTGGCTTAATTTCTGATAAATGATTCCAGGTTTTAAGCATCATATCCTCTCATCCTAATCATGATGTTGTCATTGCTGTTGACACACTAGGGAAAGAAAATCTTCTGCTGTACATATCACGTGTCCTGAAAACAAAGGTACTTTCCTACCTTTACGATATACCTTTACAACATAATCAACACTACAATTTCTTTGGTGAGTCAATATTATGAGATCCAAAGGTTACCAGAACTTACAAGTTTATCTTAATGGTCAGTAGAAATGCGGTTATCCTGGCAATAAGTTTCTATGTTCTATTGTTTGGAGGTAGTAATACTAACGTAGGATACCAGTAGATATCATCTCTCTCTCTGTTGTTAAATATTTGCTTCTTGCTCTAAAAATTTCAATTTCAAGTTACACCTAGTAAGTAAATTTTCAGATTGTTTCCTTCTGAAAATTATTCGTATACTTGTGTTTGAAACTAAAAATGGTATTCCTTCTATTATGTGCTCTTGGACACTGCTGACCCATTGTCAAGTATTTGTGCTTCAACTGCTCTTCAACTGTCCTGCAGATTTGGGTGTGGCCAGAACGCTTACAAACTATGCATCTTCTTGGGTTCCATGACATCTTTACGACAAAAACTTCAGTAACAAGGATTCGTGCTGTTCCTCGTTATAGTTTTAACATTGAGACTCTGGAGGGACTAAATACAATGCGTCCGACCATAGGGATCATGCCATCTGGTCTCCCTTGGGCCCCAAAAGCTTTCAGAGGAATGGAAAAACTTTCCTTGGAATCTCCTCCGTTGCTCCTTCATAACAGGTGGCACACAGGTGTTACAACCTCTAGTACCTCAAGCAAGACAAATGAAGGTTCATTAAGTTCAGGGAGACATGATCATTACATATATACAGTTCCATATTCTGATCACTCATGCTTTCCCGAGTTACAAAAATTTGTTGAGTTTGTCAAACCAATTAATATCAAAGGCATCGTATCTTCATCTGCTTGTAATGTTGACCCCTTTTACCACTTTGGAAGCATTTGTCGAATCCAACAAGCATCAGAGCTCTTATGCCAGAGGCTCAGAATTAAAAGATCTGAAAAAGTTGGAGTCATTGACATGAAGTCTTCCTTTGGATGCACCAGTACGATGCAATTAGGGAGGAAAAAGAGAAAGAGACAAATTTCTAGAGCAGCTATTCATGTTAGTAGGGTGAGGTTGTTGAGAAGAGAGAGACAAGGAGTAAAGATTGTGGATACCGATCCTGGTTAAACTACTAGATGTCCTTCCCTAGCAATTTTTAAATACACAGGTTCTGAAGTCATTCCATTGTGTGTAACGATGTTGAACTTGCTGTCAGTAGAAGCAGCAAAGGAAATCTAGTTTAGATTTTAACTTGTATGTCTCGAGATCATCTATCAAATTTGAAGAGGTCAAGAGTTCGGTTTCCTACTTGGTTTCCACATGGTTCATATTACTTTGTTAAACTTTTTTCACGGATTGTGGACAAGTGAATATCTCAATATTTTAATACACTCTAACAGGAATTATACTCCATTTTGTACAAATGCAACCTCCTTAGAAGATCTAATAGAAAAATATACTCTTTGACCTGTTATATTTGTTACAAAGATTTAGTTTGGTATACAAGATCAGCTTGCGTAATATGCTATTGTTGTCCAGAATTTCCGTGGAAGAGCGTTTGCATCCACCAAAGGTGTTGCTACTTCAAATATCTTGTGATTTACTTCTTCAGATAATTCTTTTGATAGATTGCTGAAAGATAATTCACACACCTGAATGTGAGTTTCTGTTTCTTTTTGATAGTTTGTGCATATATTCAGCAGTTCCTTCTTCTGCAGTGAAGGAATAAAAAGATTAAATGTTTGCCGATGTTTCTCTGTTGAGGAAATAGCTCCATTGGTTCTTGACTGGTGACATTGGCAATGGTCCTCTTTTCTAGAGAGATCAATATGATCCACAATTGAGTCCGTAGTCATATATATGATATGTAAGCTAGATTGCTAGAAAAACTTCTATATATTTGCTGGATGATAAAAAGCAGCATCTTTCTCTCTCTTTTCTTTTGTGTGTGTGTGAATTGTTTGATGCTGGATGTTTCTGACTCTCTTGCAGTGAAGTTCCAATCTCCAGGAAATGCTAGCCAATCATCCCAGTTAATGGTGTATCCAGTGGCCACCAAGTATGGTTCCAGACAGGAGGCTCCACTGGAAAGTCTGGTATAGAATTCTCACATAACAAAACATTTTATACCTGTTTCGTCTTTGTGAACTTTTGTAGCAGGCATTTAATCGTGTTGGTTTGAAGGGAGTTCAGTTGCAGTTCTTTCTTTAGTTGAGTTAAATACTTAAATTAAGTTGGATTGAAGTGTACACATTTTAGCTGAGGAAAATGCATACATTTTATGTACTTAACTATCTAGTTCAAGATCTCTCTGTAAGCTAAACTTTGTTTGACAATATAATAACATGCATAATTTACTTTTAAGACATGGTTGGTGACAAATGTTTCTTCATGATAAAAAAGGTTACATAGCCTTAAGACACATAAATGTTCTTTTTGTACTTTGCAACCTGCAAATATCAAATTTGGATGAGAAAGAAAGAAAAGGGAAAAAGAAAATGATGCAGCTATTTGATGTCTGACTGAGTCTTTGGCGTGTGGATGGATTCAAAGTTATAATATTCCAACTTGTAGGTTATGCAGGGAGATTGTGGCTTATAGTCCTTCATAATCAGAGTATTTTAAGGTTCCAACTTCAAAGGTGCGTTTGTTTTCATCCTTACTGAATTGACATGACTGGCGAGGAATTTACAGCGTAGTTGTTGAAAAAAAAGGTTATGGTAGTCAACATCTGTTGCTTTCTGATTAATAAGACTATCATTCAGCAGTATTAAATAAAATATTTTATTTGTTGCTCAGTTTCTTTTTTGAGTCCAAGGGTTTATCAGAAATATTTTTCTACCTTCACAAGGTAGGAATAGGACTCTGTACACACCACCCTCTCGTAACCCCATAAGTGGATTAGCATCCTAGCTTTAACCTTATTATCTCTCTTAAACAGCTGTTCCTTGTAGGAAATCGCTTCATTAGTTTTAAGATTAAAATGATAAATTTATAAATCTAACTTAAAATACCATCTGATCCATTTGCACATTTCTGTGCTACCTTATTTCCTATGGAACACAAATTGTAGATTACTTGATCAATTAGTAAGTGCAGAATAAATATAAACCTATCAAATAGTACTCCACAACTTCTTTGGGGACTTGCTGCAGTGGTATAGCTACATAGATGGAAGGGTGATCAAGTTGACCATCTTTCATCTGAAAAATATATATTTTAGGACTGTGTGGGGAAAATTGAAATTATGTACTCCTTTCGTTCATCTTAGGAAATTAATAAATACAATGTGTAGTTTACTAAACTATCCTTATTTAATAAATGTTTCTTGAGAATTAAATAGAGAGTAAGAGTATAGTTGAAAAACCATACACAATTTTTTGTCTTGAATTTTTAAGATGATACTTATTTTTAATCAAATGGAGTACTTTTTAAGTTGGCTATAGTTATTCTATGTACAAAGTCATCAAAAGTAAATGGTAAAATGATTCTCACCTAAATGGTTGAATCTTAACTAACGGTGGATAAAATATATTATAGAGTATTTCCTATTAGTCCACTTCTATCTGCGCCCAATTCACACGAAATGTGAAAAAGGACGTGAATGGTTGGCCAATGAATTGTAGTAGTATATTGCCAATCAGTAGCTTTCTTGCACAAATTATTATTATTAATATAAATCAATCATGTCAATATATATTAAGTATTCGATTTATTGCTCGTTATCTTAGAAGAAAAAGATTGGTGTATATTTGGTAAGAGAAACCTACTGGTTTAGTGGCGGTTGGCTAAGCATTTATTTTTCTCCACTAAGAGTTAATGTGGGTAGCTGAGACTTATTCAATTTGATAGTGACTTATCAAATCATGATTAATGCTAATGGAATTATCGGATTTAGCTAATCTAGGGGTGTGTTTGGTAATGTTTTCTCGAAAAAACATGTGGGTTTCTTTTACTAATTTTTTAGTATTTGATAAATAAATATGTAATCTAGCAAAAGACTATAGGAGTAGATGAGACAGGGAGTTAGGGTTCAAGGGTGGTGGGGGTAAGTTGGTCAAGGGGTCAGGGACATTGGACGGGTGGAGAGAAGACAATAAACTTGAAATGTCATAGATATAAGGTAATTTTATCTACTAAGATTTGAATAGATAAGAAGAAATCACTTAGTGTTTTGTCGGGAATTGAACTTGAGTTCTCATGTCAATCCACTTGATTGACCATTAGGCCTCACTTTTTGGTATTTTGAAATGCTAGAGTATTTGTGAGATTTATTCTTCCTTAATATTGAAAGTCATTTTTCATATTTTTTTTAAAAGTTACTTTCTAGAAAATATTTTTCAAAACATTAAGCTAACCAAATATGAAAATATTTCTACAATTGCAACTTTTAATAATCTCCATTGATATATTAGGTGCTACAATGGGTGAGTGAAAAATCTTTAGCCTTGACTTTTCTTCCTCGTGTATAGCAAGTTGGGGAACTCTCTTCCAGCTGTGTTTTCCATTAGTTCATAGAATTACTATCATGCCCCTGGATTATTCATGGTTCAGAATTCAAACTAAAAACCAAAGAAAATATATTTGTTCTGGAATGAAATTCAAGGACTTGCTGATGGTTGAAAAAACTGTCATACCTCATGCTATTGTGCATCAATAACATATTCATATTTTAATGGTTGACACATTCTCTATATGAAATATTTGTTCTGTTCAGCTATGTCATAAATGAAGTTTTATGATGTATGACAAATTTAAATATTTGTCTATAATGCTATCAATTCGTCACCATCGACAACAGAATATTTCATGTCTGGTATAGACTATATGTTTGGTAAATTATGAAATTTAATCAGATAGTTTACTCTTCAAATGAATTTATTTTTAACTTCTGCCCCTCGCAGTCGAACTTATGCCTACCAAATTATGATGCACCAAGAATTCTCGCTAATCTACTGTTCCCACATAGAAGATATGAACAGCTTGAAACAAATATTTTGCTTGTTGGAATTTGTCTACGTAAATCTGGTCAGTTTTGAATATTAAACCATATAACAAAATTTGTTTAGAGTCTTTATGTAAACATGGTACTATTGCTAGTTAAAAGTTCATTTTCCTCATTTATTGATCAAAAAAGTAAGTCCATGTTCTTTTTTAAAACAACTGTTTTCTAGTATTTTTTAATTCAATTATTGTTTCTCTAATCACTTCTTTATTTAATAATTTTGTATTTTGGACAGAGGGATTATGGGTGAAAAGTCAATTTAAGATTGTCCTGTTGACGTGACACCAGCAGTCATATGAAAGTTTATTTGTCCATTTTCAAACTGACCCATTCTTCAAGATAATCCCATGAATGGCTTCTCCCAAAAAGTGATATAAATCTCTCTGTCCTCTGAACAAACTCTGAGCAGCTATGGAGATCAAAAACAATTATTTTCTCCTCTTTTCTTTGATGTACCTATGTTTCTCTCTCAAAACCCATCTCTCCATTGAAGCTGCTGACACCATTTCTGCAAATCAATCCCTTTCTGGAGACCAAACAATTATCTCTTCAGGTGGAAAATTTAAGCTTGGTTTCTTCCAACCAGGTAATTCTTCCAACCACTACATAGGCATGTGGTATGATAAAGTGGTTGAACAAACTGCTGTTTGGGTTGCAAACAGGGAAAAACCAGTTCTTGATAAGAATTCTGCAGAGTTAAAGATCTTAGATGGTAATTTAGTACTGGTGGATGAATCTCAAACTCTAATTTGGTCCACAAATATCAGTTCCAGCAACTCGAGTTCTGTTGTAGCAGTCCTCCAAGATGATGGTAATTTGATCTTGACAGATGGGTCTAATTCAACACCACCACTTTGGCAAAGTTTTAATAACCCTAGCAATACTTGGTTGCCTGATTCTAAACTTTCTTACAACAAAGTTACCAATACAACGCAGCTTCTTACTTCATGGAAGAGTGCAGATGATCCTGCACCTGGGCTGTATTCGCTTGAACTAGACCCAATTGAGAAGCAGTATATTATAAGGTTCAATAGAAGTGAGCAATATTGGGATACTGGACCATGGAATAATATAATTTTCAGAGATGTGCCTGAGATGAGTGTTAACTATATTTACAATTTTAGCTATGTGGACAATCAGAATGAAAGCTATTTTACATATTCCCTTTATAATGATTCTATTATCTCAAGATTCATTATGGATGGCTCTGGACAGATTAAGCAACTCACATGGTTGGATAATACAAATAAGTGGAATCTGTTCTGGTCTCAACCAAGACAACAATGTGAAGTTTATGCATTTTGCGGGCCATTTGCTACCTGTCAGGAAAACAATCCCTTC